GGGTCATCGTTACTCCATTCTTTTGTTGTAAAAATGCCATTGGAGACCATGCGTTTTTCTTCTCTTGCTTTGTAAGCACGGATAAGACTAATGGTTTACTATTAGACTTTGAACGCCTGTGTGGAACCGGTGTGTCTTTTGTAGATGAAATCATGGGAACTGAAGGACGGCGTTGTGCTATTTGTGCGTCAACTTTGCCTGATTGGTCAATAAGAAGGGCAACAGCGTGTTCCTAGGAAAGAATTTATAACCGCTTTAGAATTTTTTTGGCTTTAAATAAACATCTTGATAAAATAATTAAGCTTGTACCATTACTCCATTGGTCATTTCGAGTGCGACTTTAGCTTGTTCACTACTAAAACCCATTTCTCTTATTTGTAAGACATGATCATCCTCTGGCTGTTCAGTAAAAATATAAGTATGATAATTAATATTAATTACATATAATCTTATTGTATTTTATTTTATTTTTTTATGATGGGAAATTTGATGCGCACTGGAAAAAATGGAGATTTCTTTTCATCAGAAGGACTTGCAAACATAGGGGATTGCGGAGTCATCAGTCCTGTCGATAAAATCACTTCTGACATCGAACTAACACTGCCAGGACGACTACCAGGACGACTACCAGGAAGACTACGTGTCGGGTTTCCTTGTACAAGCCTTGAAAGCTCTTTGGACACTTTTTTTTTATTTTTTTTCATATCAGCTATGACTACCGAAGCTATCTCTTTTCCATCCAACCGATGCACACCTGTTGGATCAGCGGATGACAGTTGTTCTGCCACACGCCGTTGATGTTCTTCATAAAGCTTAAATACAAAATCACAGTATTCGTTTTTTTGAGCTCGTTGCATTTCTTCAAGCTCGCTCTCCCATGCAGCTTGATTAAATTCATATTCCTATGTAGAAGGAAAAGGATGAGATATGTAATCTGTTTTAATTTGAAATGGTTAACACAATAAATAAATATAATTTACTTCGACATGCATTTCAATTAACTTTTGAAATCCATTAACTGAAACAGATTCAGCACCATTTTCTAACTCTTTTTGACGACTTAAATCATAACATTGGTAAATTACACAATACAGCTATCAAAAGACA